GTGGGAGCTGCTCCCTGCCCCAGCACACACCTCCTGCAAGACCCTGTTTGCCAGTCAGTGCCCCACGGGTGCCTGTGGTGCAGCAATTGGAGCTGTGGGGATGCTGAGCACACCTGGGGGTGGCTGCTGGGGGGGCTGTGAAAGCCAAGTCCCCTGCAGGGCCCTACAGAGGAAGGGGGGTTGGTGTTGGGGCAGCCCCCGTGGATCCAGCTCCCAGAACCTCAGCTGTGGGTCATGGACTGCCTCTGTGTTCCTGTGAACCTCCACGTCTGCAGGATGTCTAGACAGCAGCCAGTGGGGCTTCCTGGGGAAGCAGGAGGAGGATGAGCCCCACGAGCCTCCTCAAGTGTTGTTTTTGTTGCAGGGAAGCAATAATGACATGGCAATAGCTGTCAGCACAGGTGACACCTCCCCAGCCACTCAGCTGCTGTGCTGCTCAGCCTGATGCAGAGCAATTCTTGTCTGGAAGTGCTTTTCCTAATGGTAAAATTGAATCTGTCAACAGGTAATTTCATAAACCCTGAGAAAGGAATTTCCATGCAGGGATCAGCTCAGAGCAAAAGCCGCACTCATGGTGGCATGTCTTTTTTTTCCCCTCCATCCCCTGCTAGAGGAGGCAGCAGGGGTTTCAGCATTAAATTGAGATTAAAATGGGGACCTTGATCTTCCAAATGTTTCTGGGTTGTACACACAGGGGTAGCCTGGGGCTGGACACAGCTTGGGGAGGCACAGGGGAGGAGGTGGGGACTGCAGTGCCTGTGCTGCCATCAGCCCTGCTCAGCAAGGTCTGGGGGGGTTCCCTTGCCTGGATGTCGTGGAATCATCATGATTGGAAAGGGACCTCGAAGAGCATCAAGTCCAACCAGAACCTAAATCCCCCTCTCATAACCTAATTTACCTGTTTAGTGCTTAAATGTCCTCAGTTCTCCCCTTCTGGTTCAGGATGGTGTTAGGAGAGCTGTGCAATTAGCAGGATGGAGTGATCCCAGCTCTCCCTGAGGTTGCAGCTTCTCACTCTGAGCTTCAGCCTGGCAGCAGAATAGGGGAAGAGTTGAGGAGGGAGGAAACACCCAGTGGAAATGTCCTCAAAATGCCCTCTTCTGGGACAAGAATTGCTTGGTAGTGTTAATCATGTTTACAAAGCTGCTGACCTGAGTGCAGAATAGCCCAGGCAGAAGGGCTTGGTCCAGAAAATGGTGTGTTGGGGTCTGTTCCCAGTGAGGCCCAGTGCTTTCCATCATGGCAGGATCACATCACAGTGGTGGGAACCACTGGAAACAACAGCCTGGTCATGGTGGTCGTGGTTAGTTCCTTCTAGTGGGGGGTGTCCCTGCCCATGGCATGGGGTTGGATCTTTAAGGTCCCTTCCAACCCAAACCAGCCTGTGGTTCCTTGGACAGCACAGCTTGGCTTGTGCTTCCCTGTCATCCCACAGGTTCCCTCCCACCTACAGAGATGTCCTGGGGAGGATGGCAGTGGGGGGAACAGTGCTGTGTTTGGGGCAGCCAACCCCACCTAACACCATCCCTCCTCTCTGCCCAGCACTGGAGACATCCTCTCCAGGCAGGAGGCCCTTGGGACAGAGTGTGCAAAACAACCTCCCCTCTTATCCCTGAGCCCTTCAACAGGGACTGACTCAGCCTGGCAATCAGCTTCTCTCTGCTCCTGAAGCCTTTCTCCCCTCCCCACTCTGATCACACTGAGCTCCCTGCATTCCAGCACTCCCTTTTCTTGCTCAGCTCTTCCCTAAATCTGCAGTTGGTCAGGAAGATGAATTCTTCAGGAGAGGTTCTTTCTCTGCCTCCTGCTGCTGCCACGTTCCTCCCAGCAGCCTCAGGTGCTGGTGCCACTTCCTTGGGCTTTATTCAGAGAGGTGTGGGTACTAATTGATTAAGAAATCAATGCAGTTAAGCCCTCAACAACCCAACTTTCTGGGATTGCCAGCAGCAACACATTTTTAAGTAGTGCTCAGATTTGCTGGGTTTTTTTCCCCACTCAGCTTGGGGTTGCAGGAAGGTCTGTCAGGCCCTTGTTGCTGGGGGCTGTGTTCATTGCTTTCTGCTTCTTCAAGGCTGGGTTTGCCTGCTACGTGTGTAAACAAACCAGCTCACACAGCAGCACCTCAGGTTGACATGGAGAGGGAGTATCTCTTACTCCATCTGATGATAGCAGAGTGGGGAGAGCAGCTTCTCAGCTTACCAGCCCATGGGGATAGTGTTAAAGGGAGATGGAAATGTCTTCAGGCAGAGCTACCCCTTGTGCTGTGAGTTTCTCTGAAGTCCTGACACACAAATTGGTTGGTTAGGGACTCACCAGTCCTTTTGGGCCCTGGGCTGTGGTTGCATGCACTTTGCTGCATCTCTTCTGCTTGTGTTTTTCCCAAAGTTGGGGATTTTTTAAGCAAGGAGTGGCCCCAGAGTGGGGAGGAAGTTACGGTAGAAGGGACACCCTGAGTGTCATGAGACAAATGGGGAGGAAAAGGGAAGGACTTCTGAAAAGTTGAATAGTTTTCTGGTTTTAGTAAAACCCAGTGAAGTGTCCTATAAAGTAATCATTCAGTGTCCAGAGTGATTAAACTGCCCTTGATTTGGACAGGCAAGTGCTCTGCTGGCTGGGTGTGATGCCCCCTCTCCACCTGAAGTGTGAAGGTCTCTTTGTGGTTCCTTTAGGATGTTCCAACCCTAGAATTGTTTCCAGCACTTCAGAGCAGGGGGGGTGACTAACCCAGGGAAGGTCAGTTCTGTGCAGCCTCATACAGGGATGCTGGTACAGGTGGTTCATACCTTGAAGCTCTCACCCTCCAGCTTTCCATGGTCCAGAACCTGCCTGCTTTGGTCCTGCATCCATGGGATCACCCCAGCTCCAGCTCCCACATCCATAAAACATACAGGTGATGAAGCATGAATGCAGGTGCAAGCCAATTGTGATACCAGTATAGAAAAGCAGGAGCTGCTTGGGCATCCATTTCTTAAAGTATAATACTTGGCAGTGCATGGTCCTTAAGCAATTCATGTCCTGCTGCTGATCCCTGTCTCACTATCAAGACACAAAGTGTGTTCTCAATACCAGCCTAATGCTGAATTCCCTGCATGCTGCTGTGTCCTCTAGACAGGCAGGTTAATTAGTGACTTGAAGCTGGAAATGACTTTTCCATCCAGGTAAGTGTTCAGGCTTTTGATTTGACTGGGATGAAGAGTTTGAAATGTAAAAGCCATTCACAAACAGGCTGTTCCTGGTGGTTCTATCAGCGTGAAGCACATTTTGGCTTTTTCTCATTTGTTTTTTATTCCTGCT